CTCTTTCTCTCTCTCTCTTTCTCTCTCTCTCTTTCTCTCTCTCTTTCTCTCTCTTTCTCCCTTTCTCCATGACTCGTTTTCCCCTTCATGCCTCCATTTCGACCTATCATCTCGATATGAAAATATCGAAATATCGCAATTTCTAATTATCGCGATATGAAGATATCTCTATATTCCCATATGATAATTACCCCGCTTACCCTTCGATTCCTCCGTTAATTGTCTCCATGGCCCTTGGCTTTTCTAGGCGTAGGTCATCCACCACTTACCCTCAAACGAGACCTGCCCACCTTCTGCGCCAAATTGCATCTTAAGCACTTCGAACAGACACACGAGTAGAGTGCCAAATGTTGTAGGTGTATTAGCGTGAATACATGATAGCGCTGCCGTGACCCTCTCACTGGCACACTTATCTCATCCACGGATACTCGGGTTTTTATACCCCCTTTCAGAAAACCCGACATACCAGCCTAATTGTAGATGGATTATCACTCCTCGCACTCAGACATCGTAATTTGGCAGCGAAGTTGTGAAAGACATTGCAGAAAATGTATTTTTCTTAGTGTTGATTATTTTATTGATTCTTTGTTTATTATACGATACATTCACAAGAAAATTGATACTGATTCTATGCAATATTTGTGTAGCTGACATTTGTAGATAGATAGATATAGATAGATTTATTATTTATGCAGGTAGGTATAGAACCTGGTGGCAGAACACTACATTTTACATATTACAACTAAGAATAGTTGAAATGTTGTATAGCAATAGCATATTCTCATCATTAAAATAAACTAGTTATGCTGACTTTTTGATTTTTTATTTGCTTTAAATAAAATATACTATAAACACTGGTGTTTCGTAGGTTAACCTCTTAACCGAATATAACCTCGGCATGCATGATTTATAGTTCCATAACGCAGACATTTCTTTATAATGATTTGTGATCTCGTGCTATTTTTATTTAATTTATTCTTGCAACGACGTAAATGAACATTGTCGTTTCCGGCCTCGAAACCTCTTAAAGGAAAGTACATTACGTTCTTCAGTGCCCATGTGCCGTAGCGCTCCTTCGTGTTGCAGCCAACCTAGAACATTGACGTTCAGACGACAGGTCATACAGCGTTTTCTTATTCATAGATAGGTTTATTATTTCAGCAAGTAGGTTTATACAACCTGGTGGCAGAACACTACAATTAACATATTACAAGTAGGAACCTCCATACAATGTAATTTTAAATCCGTTTTAAGACAATAATAGTAATAATAAAATAAAAATAAAGACAATAATAACAGTAATAGCATTAACTCCACATTTTATGATTGTCCTGCACATATATTTTAACTAATAAATACACTTTTTAAATACACTGCACTTCACCTCACCTCACCTCACTTCACTTCACTACACTTGTACTTCACTTCTTTTTTTACTTTTCTATCGCACTACACTTCACAACGCACTACGACACTTCGATTCAACTACTTCTTTAAGTATCATTATATATTTAATAAATAAATTTTAAATATGTCCTTAGTTAATATACATTTAAACCTTTGTACGCCTAAAGAAAATGGTTCCATAGCTGCCGCTGGCAACTTATTCCAGTCCGTTATTGTTTAACGCTTCCTTGAAGGACCCCTGTAATTACCAAAACTATGGTGCTATGGTGTCAGTACCGTAATGCATTAATTTATAAACTAGTTCATCGTGTGGGTCGACATCAAATGCTTTTACAAAATCTATTATTACTGCATCCAACCTCCCGCATCAAATAAACAACATTTCCGCTCGTGTTCTTCTTCAATCGACTGACGTGCACGACTTGTGAATCAGGCTTCATAAATGTACGTCTGTGATTTAGCAGAAATTCCAGGTGACTGCGAGAGCGAGCAAATGAACCCTCGGCTTCCTGAACACGTTTCTTGTTGTGCAGTGCGGCCATTCAAGCCGGCGCACTCAGACCACACACACACACACACACACACACACACACACACACACACACACACACACACACA